GCACGGTTCTTTAGCCCCAGGCTTGTCGGAACAGCCAGGTTTTAAGGGCTTTGCGGAAGGCCTGGAGGGTGGGGAGGGTTCGGATCTCCATGGGGAGCTAGTTCCAGAGGGTCGGAGCAGCCACAGAGAAGGCTCTCCTCCGGGTAGTCGCCAGTCGACATTGGCCGGCGGATGGAATTCGGAGGAGGCCTAATCTGTGGGATCTGATCGGTCTATTGGAGGTAATTGGCAGATGAGTTGTAGATCTTGATTACAACTGAGTGCTGAATGTGCCACAGAACTATGGTGGTCAAACTAGAATGGAACATCTTCCCCTTCATCCCCATTCCCCACCACTCCTAAGTATGTAAATAGAATGTCTCACCTGTGCTCTTTTATACAGGGCCATGGAAGTTATTATATCTACAATAAGTTAAAGCATTTGTTACTGCCTATCTGAGAAGCGTGCGTCTAAAAAATGTAACTTAGAGAATTAGTTGCATATGTTTCAAGATGGGAAAGCATGGAGACCACATGCTGTTACTATCCCAACTCTTGACTCACGTAGCACATCAGACAATCCACTGTGTTTGCAGCAAAATAGGATCAATGTAGCTGCTTGAACTAGTGAACAGATGGGTGGAATCAGGCTTTCTCAATGGCTGGGATGTACTGAGGTTGGATTCTGGAGGATCTGATTTTTTAAGAAACTTCTTTGGGAAAAGAGAAGAAAACCCTGTAACATGAACAAACCTTGTCATTTAGGTATTGCCCAGTACGATTTTGTTCTATTTTTAGTTTTTTTCTCTTCTCTTCCTTAGATCTCTGTATTGATTCCTCTTCTGGAAAATGGAGAGTTATTGATTCCTGGACGTAATGACTGCATAAAAGTAGCCCCTGGTTTCCATCTTTTTGCTACCAGAAGGTAGAATGTGTAGCCTGCTAGGGAGGGTTTGATAATGACTTTAAAATAGTTCATAGATCCGTGGGAGAGAGGGTTCGGGGAGGCATTCTTATAATTCTGTGTATACCTAAAAACATAATCCTTGAATCTAAGATGCTGTTTAGAAAAATATTATAAAAGAATATACAAAAATTCAGGAGGAGTTGCTGAATTGATACAGTAGTGGTCTGTAGTGTTGTAGCAATCCAACCATATTCTTACCAGATCATCATATCCTTTTATTAATATCTGATTAATATTAATCTCATTTGCCATTATTTAGAGAATCAATATAATGAGCAAATGAATACCTAGAAATTAGTAATGGGGCATTTTTGACATTTTGTCGTTATCATTTGAGATTTTAATTTCTTTAGTTTTGGTGTTGCAGTTAAGGAATATTATTATTAAATTTATTTGTTGCCCATCTTGTAATTTGAGATGACTGAGCAGAAAGACTTTTGGAAGTTTTAAGGCGAATAGATTGCATCCAAGAGAACACATTTATATTATACAATTATACTTGGACAAATAAGAGTTACCTTCCCCATGTCTGTTCAACTAAAGGTACGAAGATAGTACTAATGACAGATGGTTACAACACCGTGTAATATTTTTGGCAGCGATGCCTTTGCTGCTTCAGATGTTGCTAAATTACAACTCCCAGCAGCCTGTTGAACATGACCAATGGAAAAGTAGTTCATGACATATTTAAGTAACGTCAGGCTGCCAGTTCTCCACATCTGGAATGGAATGCTCTAAAGAATCTAAAAACTAATTTGTGGTTTCATTAATGTAGAGTCTTCAGTTATGGCGGTGGTTGGTATAGGCAGCAGAACAGCCATGCTGCTCTTTTGGACAAGTACTGGACAAAAATTATGCTTAACAACTTGCCTAAGGCTGAACTCAAAGAGGTAAGTAAGGAGAGGGAATAAGCCCCATGAACTGACAGAAAAATTGTTTCAGGATTTCATTTCAAATTTGCTATTTAATTTCAGGAAAAAAAGTATTCCTATTGTTAATTCCTACTAAAACGTGTAGAATAAAATTATAACTTTATCCGATGTTCAGGATGAAACCATAATATATCAGCTTTTATTCTTCCTTCAGATTCTTCAGAGACGTTATCCTAAACTTGCCACTGTAACAGATTGTCTGCTGGATATCTACATTGAGCTTACTGGTGATAAACATTTATCTGAAAACCAAATTGTGGGCAATGAGAATACAATGGATGATGCATCAGGCTTGACTGCAAATAAAAAGCCATGTTTGGAGGGCAGAGAGTTATCTCTAAGGTATTTAAATGTGCAGTTAGGCTATGAATATTTAGTTTGGAGGAGGCAAATTATCCTTAGACAACAATTATCTAGAGTAGTGTTTTTCAACCTTGGGACCTTTACTTCAACTCCTAGAATTCCCCAGCCAGTATGGCTAGTTGGGTAATTCTGAGAGTTGAAGTCCACATGTCTTAAAAGTTCCCAAGGTTGAGAAACACTGATCTAGAGTTTTAAAGATCATCTGCGTGCATGTTTTAATTGAAGTTCCCACTGAGAAGGCATTAATTGAATGAAAATGTGACTAGTGGGTGTTTTTCGAAAACCAGCACCAAGTACCGTATTTTTCAGAGTATAAGATTCACTTTTCCCCCTCCAAAAGAGAGAGAAAATATGGGTGCGTCTTATACACTGAATATAGCATTTTTTTGCCTACTGAAGTCCCACCCCCCTTATAAAAATGGACGTGCAGAGGGTTTGTGAGGCTTGCAAAATGTTCATGGGGGCTGGGGAGGGCAAAAACAAGCCAAAAATGGGCCGTTTTTGCCCCCGCCCCCCAGGAGCACTCTCCAAGCCTCCAAAGCTCTGCATAGCCTTTTTTTTTTCTTTTTTTTTTTGCAAAAAATGAGGCGTGCAAGGGGTTTGGGAGGCCTGCAGAATGCAAAAACTTTTTTAAAAATTACCTCTTCAAAATCATGGTGCATCTTATACTCTGGTGTGTCTTATAGTCCGAAAAATACGGTATGTACCTAGTGAAGCGAGAAAGAAGCTATAGAAAGAAGCTATAGTTGTCGGAAGATAAGGAGAGCATTACTCTGAAACTACATTCACATCATCTTTTCTTTTTTCAGGGACTTACTCAATTGGTGCAACAGAATCGTGTTCAACTTTAACAGTTCTACTTCATCTACTGCACTGAACATATTTCGTGAGGTCTGAAATAAACGGTTCTTGTTTTAGGATGGGGGTATTTTTTTAAAAAAAACTTACTTTCTATAACATAAATTCAAGTTGTTTTTTAGATAATGGATGGAGTATTAAGATAATTTTAGATAATGGCTGGAGCATGTAGATTATACCGTACAGTATAGTACAGATTGGATGTTGGGTTTAAATGGCCTCTTTCAATAGTATGACTCTGAGATATTCCAGTTTTTAAAAAAGAAGAATGAAAATAAATGAATAAGACATTTCTTTCCATCACAAGAGTATACGAGTTATTCATTGCTAGAAAGTTAACTACTCTTTGACTACAGTTGGTTTATTTGGAGACAATAGTTTCTTAACTATTAACTCTTAACTTTTTCTGTTGATAGGCATTAGACTGTTTCACAGCTATGCTGTCAAAACAATCCAATCGACTAAAAATGGCTACAATCATTGGAAGCAAATTGAACATTTCCAAGCATAAGGTACATTTACAAATTGCCTATTTCTGTATAAGTGCTTCTCTCAATGGGAAATGACTCAAAATTGGCTGCAGCTAGTTGTGAACTTTGAAGGAAGTTTCTTCCATCGGGCTTCCAAGAGCCAAGGTGGCGCAGTGGTTAAATGCAGCACTGCAGGCTACTGCTAGATCAGCAGGTCAGCGGTTCAAATCTCACCGGCTCAGGGTTGACTCAGCCTTCCATCCTTCCGAGGTGGGTAA